ACACACACACACACACACACACACACACATACACACAAGTTTTTAAAATCTTGAATAATCCCATCATGTTTGGAAATTTAAATGATAATCAGAAGACAAAGAAATTTTGGTGCTGATATTCAGATGCATCTCTGCAAATTTTCTCCCTCACTTTGAGACAACAAGCCTTATCATTATTTAATGGTAATTTTTCTTATCTAATGTTTCGTTTCTTATAGAAATTTCTTAAAGGCAGATTCTGAAAACAAAAAACTATGCCTTTCTTTATACACACACACACACTCAGCCATTTTTTTTTCTTGAAGGAAAAGCTGGCAACTAAAATTGATTCTTCCTCCTTAATCAAAACTGTTCCCCAAATGCTAAGTCCTTTGTTAGCACCTCACATTGACTGAGAAACATAGTTTATTTTTCTTTTGGCTTTTGATGGAACAACTGAGTCCTTTTAAGACTACAAAAAAAGGGACATTAGCATGAATGCAGTATCAGTTAGAAAGAAAAAATAACCCTAAAAATGTGAGGTCATAGGAGATGTGTTACACCTCCGTTTTGTATTTCATGTCTCCAAAACTGCTATTTTTAAATGAGGAAGAAGAAAGGAACTGAGCCTTTAAAGTGATATTTGGACCATCGAGTCGGATTTCATTAATCTGTAGAGAAAATTCTGGAGTTGGAAGAAGTTCTATTTGAAAATATCAGCTTTGTTTTGAGTGTGGATTTGATGTCTGGGTTTAGGTGGGCAGGGAGCAGGGAGGAGAGAGTGGAAACTTCCTAGGAGAAGAGGGGGGTGTGCGGGGGCAGATGAAGGGGAACCAACAGGAAGGGCAGTGACAGGTTCAGATTAAAGAATCACCCAGCGTTTTTTTGGAAATCGCCATGGCCACCCAAGTGCTGACATTTCATAAACTGTGAGCCGTTTTATCTGCTACCTTCTTACTTCTCACTTCTTATTCTCTCGTCTCGTTGAGAAATATGTTAATGATGAAGTCTGCTGCTAAAAATGCCCTCAGGCACCAGCATTTTTTATTTTGTAATTAAAAATAAATTAATATTTTAGAATAATTCTGGACAATGAGAATTGCCACAAAGAACCTCCAAATAAATGAGAAATATGGGAATGTAAACCTAACAGTT